GAAGCACCTTTCTTTTCGCTTCCAGAAACTTCAACACTGGTCTGTTCCACGTTTTGGTTAGGCTAGAGCCATTTTAGTAGAAATCTGCCATTGTGTCGTTGTGCTTAAGAGCCAACGAACTGTACCTGGTGCCGATTCGTCAAATCGAGCATCCAGTTTTATTTTGTATGTTATTATGTTAGAACCATAAACAGTTATGATGTGTAGTTTTGGTTATGATTTTTGTTTGTTGTTTTTTGTTCTGTTTGAGTTATTGAAGTCATTATGTGTTGTTGCAGTAGTTAGAAAATGCTACTGTTGTTCCAACCTGATTGTTGTTCGCCCTAAACGAAAACTTTTCCTGTTAGTCCAGTTTTCGCTCTTACGTGGGGGTATTGTAGCATTTTAAATTTGATTGATTCTTTGAAGTATATTTAAAGTCGCCTCGTATATGAAATCGTCTTAATAAAACGAAGAATGTTTTCTGTTTTTTAGTTCGTATCTTTCGAAAAGTGTTTTCAATCATTCTAACGTCGTAGAGTAATAAATCCATTTAATTGTTGTTTATTTTACTGCGGCGATTTCTTTTCATGTAAATGCGTTTCAAAGGATATCTACGTCGTTCGTTGGTTTTGCTATTTCAGCAGTTCGTTGATTTTCAAGTTAAGCGAACAAATTTTTAATTTCGTCACTCTCGGTGAAACCGCTGTCACGAGCGTTTGTAGTTTTATTGGAGTCCGAATTTTTCTTCAAATTCGTAATGTTTTTTCGTTTTTTTTTTCTCTTTTGTCATGGGAAAATGTGTAGTGTGGTGGCAGTTAAGAGCTCGGCGTGTAATCTTCAGAAAGCCGACAGATCCTGTTTGTGGAAAGTTATATGTGTTGTATTATGTCCTAAATGGAAGATTTGTAAGGTGTTACAACGATATAAGAGGCCATCGTATTTTCAATGAAGTTTTGAAAAGCCAAGCTTAGAAGTTTGCAATTTTTTTTTGACCCGAAGCCCGATGATCCAGCCGAACTTCAACTTCCTTCGTCTATTTGTTTGTCCCTGGTCATTCCAGACCATTCTGAAGCTTGGAGACGCTTGTGTTATTTTGCAGTGTTTAGAAATCCAGTTCCAGCCCCAAAACTAATATTTAGTGAAGTCAGGTACTTTTTTTGTTAAATTTTTTTTAGAGTGAAAAATAGACATTTATCATTAATAATTGCTTTCATGACAAGTTGAAAAATTTGTAATAAGTAAAATTATAATAATTAGGATTTGGCTGTCATAATAATTATTCTTATACACATAACTAACCATAAGTTTTGAATTTGTTTTGTTTTTTTTTAAGTTGACCTTAATCTAAACTGCATTGAAAGATCTATATGATTTCAATTTTGTTTTTTGTAATTATCATTTGTTTTGTAACTG